AACAACTTTCTTAAATGGTGATTTAAATGAAGAGGTTTACATGGAACAACCATAAGGATTTGTTCTTCTTGGAAATGAGAAGAAAGTCTGTAAACTAGTTAAATCACTATATGGATTAAAACAAACACCTAAACAGTGGCATGAGAAATTTGATTATTGCATTCTAGCTTTTGGTTTTAAAACATAATAGTGCTGATAGATGCATCTACTCAAAATTCACTGAAAATTATGGAGTAATTGTGTGTATCTTTATGTGGATGATATGCTTATTGTGGGTACAAATATGGTTGGCATAAATGAAACTAAAAACTACTTATCCTCTATTTTCAAGATGAAAGATTTAGGAGAAATAAATACCATCTAGGGAATAAAAGTTAAAAAGCATAGTAGGGGCTATGCATTAAGCCAATCACATTATATTGAGAAAGTACTTGAGAAATTTAAGCATTTAGGGTTTAAAGAATATAGCACACCATATGATTCTAGTATAAAGCTAGTAGAAAATACTGGTAGAGCAATTGCACAACTTGAGTATGCTAATGCAGTAGAAAGCTTGATGTATGCTATGCTATGTACCAGACCTGATGTTGCATTTGCAGTAAGTAAACTCAGTCGGTTTACAAGTTATCCCGGTGCAGAGCACTGAAAGGCAATTGGGAGAGTTCTTGGGTATATTAAGAGAACCTTGGAACTTGGCTTGTTTTACTGTGATTATCTAGTTGTGCTAGAAGGATACACTGATGCAAGTTGGATTACCGGTAATGGAGACAACAAGTCCACATCTGGATGGATTTTCGTCCATGGTGGGGGTGCAATTTCTTGGGCATCCAAGAAACAAACTTGTATATCTCACTCGACAATGGAATCCGAATTCATAGCCTTAACGACTGCTGGAAAAGAGGCTGAATGGATTAGGAATTTATTATTTGATATAAAACTTTGGCCTAGTCCTATGCCTCCAGTTTCCATTTACTGTGATAGTGAGGCAACTCTGTCAAAGGCCTACAATGGTACCTACAATGGTAAGTCCAGACATATAAGTCTAAGACATGAATTTGTTAGGCAACTGATTCAAGATGGAGTCATCACTATAACCTATGTGAGGTTAAGTAAAAACTTGGCTGATTGTCTTACCAAAGGCTTGGCCAGAGAATTGGTAAGAATGACAACCAAAGAGATGAGATTAAAACCCTTTATTTAGTCACTTGTAATGGTAACTCAACCTGAATTGAAAAACCATCAGTATTGGGTTTAATGGGTAACAACAAGTTACAACAATGTGACTGTTAGCACTGACATTGAGAATTTTCCCATCACAACATAAACAGTGTTGTCCGTTATGATAAGAGGTTGAGATAAACTCTTAATGAAGTTCTGAAATGTGTCAAATAACGGAGCACATAGTGGAACTTCACCTATGTGAACATAGAAGTGGTGCCGCTTCTCATGAGGGTTTGGGTTTGCTCTCAGGATTGTTCATGAAACTAGGAAAGAAGCACATGGCCATAACAGTACTGAGCAAAACTTGAAACTCTTACAGAGACTGGACATTTTTGTGTGTATAGGTGTCTCTGGTTTGTCTTGAGAGTAATTGGTTTAACGTCTTACCACCAATAACTTTGACAAGGCTCTGAGATAACTATACTAACAAGAGGTTTAGGTTGATAAACACCTTTTGTATGCATAATTGTGTCATAATAATTTTGGATTGTGAGATAACTATGTAATTGATCAATCAATGTGGAGGATTGTTGGATTTTAATCTCATAAGAGATTAAATCCAATGGGTTTGATTGGTCAATTACATGAGAAATTGCACCTACACATTTGATTTAAAAATCAGTTTTCTCTTACAAAAAACCCAGTTTTGAACTTGTCCCACATTGGAAAATTATAAGTTTTGTTTTCAGTATTTCTATAAGAGTTGATTTACACTCCTTAGAATTAGTAGATGAGAGTATGGGGATTCGATACCGCACAACGCGCGTGCACGCGTGTGTGCGGCGCAATGAGGCGCTTTAGAGGCGCACTTTACTCGCACCCGCATGGCTCGCGATGGGCGGCTTTGGTTTTGGTGCGTTGATCACCGTTGAAGAGATCAACGATCACGATTCGATCGGGTGTGATCAAGAGGCACAATTCAAAGTTAACAGTCACCAACTGTTAACCACTTTTTAAACAGTCACAATGTTTGAAATTGTGACTGTTCAAGGTKCYTTCTCTAAACYAGCACCTACCTTTTCYTCATACCTCTTCACAAATTATTTAAGGAGCATGAATCAGACTCTAAAACACACAATTTCAAAATTCACTCTCTCTCTCTCTCTGTTCAGTCTGCTACAGTCTCACAGAAGGTTTCTCGGGAGACTCTTCAACTTTGTTGGTTGCAGATTCTCACCCAAAGCTGTGTTGTATCCTGGGAACGAATTTGCCTGTAACCCAACAACAAACTCAGTAAAACTGAGTGGGGGCAAATAACGTTGTAAAGACAGTGTCTTCAGACACACCTCAGAGCTTCTCCTCCAAAGTTACAGTGACCCCATTCTTCCCCAACAAAAACTCCCAAACATTGCATGTTAACAAGTAACACATATTGCATGTCTTCATCTACCAACCACACTCAATCCCATTAAGCTCGTGTCATTGTGTTGAACATCTCTTGACGCACAAGGATTAGTGGCACTAGAGGAATTACTACCCATTGTTAGGTAGGAGATTACATATACTAATAAAATGATTTAGTTAATACAAACTATAAAATAAAGTATCGGTACTAATATAATTCAAGTCACACACTTACATTTACGTGCTGCAAAAAGGGCAATGCGTTATGCTCCATCTCCTATGTGCTAACACATGGAACTAAAACATAGTGGGGAGAAACCTACAACGATGAAGGACTCACTAGCACACAAAAAAAAAAAAGAAAAAAAAAGAAAAGAGGAAGCACAAACAAAAATGTTAAACAACATTACCTTAATCGAAGGGGATGATGTATCGACAATCCATACAGGAAACATCATAAATAATGCAAAAAAAAAAAACATATTGCTATATCTATACTATATATAAAAGTGTGAATGCTGAGTGAAAGTTTTTTTTTTTTTTTGTAATAAAACTACCCTCTATTTCTTTATATAAGAAATGGTATAATTGTCATTTTATTACAACTCTAATGGCTAATCGAATATCCATATTTGTATATTTAGTCCATCTCTAATTGTAAGGGTTAATAATGTATTTTCAATTATTACTTTCCATCTGATTTAATCCCCTCTCATTAAATCTTATCCTTAATGTATTAATTATCATTTTTTCTTATTAAATCCTATATTTAAAATATTTTTAACTAATAAATACTACTAATTAGATCTATGCCACTATTTTTAACAATATAAACCAATATATTTTAAAACTAACTTAAAACCAAAACCTTTCTTTACCCAAGTGGCGGCTAAGCAGTTCAACCATCCAAATCAAATTGATCAAACTATGAAGTCATAGTTAGGTAATAAAATTTTTAAAATAGAAATACATATAGAAATTAAAAAAAAAGTATAAAAAATTAGACTACACATTTATAGTATTTTTATTAATAAAATTAAAAAATAAGTTTAATAAACATGAATTATTTTTATTGACAATGAAAATGAAATACATAATTTAGAACCAACCAAAATTGAAATTATTTTACTATTTGGCGAAGATCAAAAGTCAACTTTTGGGTCAAATGTGCTAACTTTTAATGCCATAAATAAATAATACAAATTAATGAAATATAAAAATACATAAATTTTGCAAAAAAAAAGCATTTAGGAACATGTATAATATCTTATATTTACCATATTAAACAAAAAGTAAGTGTGGTATATCAGAATTTTTTTTTGCATAGAGAAATACAAAAAAATTCTAGAAAATTTGAATACATCTATAATTATATATTTAGACTACTATTAAAATATGAATAAACTTGTGGAACTTTATTTTTTCTAAAATACTCATTTTAGAATTTAGTCTCTATTTAATTGTTACGTTTAAATTGTAAATTGGACTACTACCTTTCACCTCATTCAATTCCCTTTATTTAAATCTTATATTTTTTTTATAAACGAACAAAAAAATATACACAATAAAGATAAAACATTACAATAAAAGAGTCTAGCCAAGTGGTAGGCCTGTTTATGATACTTGAGACCACACCTTGATCCGATTATCACATATTTGAAAGAGGTATTCATGTAATTGGATTTGGACTCTGCAATTTACATCCGACTAATAACAAAAACAAAAATAAAAAATGCATAAAGTTCATAAAAAAATTTAGAATACATAATTACTATCATTATCATCATCTGAATTTGGTTGCGTGGAGCACACACACAATTACTAGTATATACACAAAATGATCTATAACAAAACTTTGCTAAACGTAGTCACGGTACCATCTTCTTCACTCTGACCTTGAACAACAATATCGAGACATGCATCCACTAACTACTACACAGGTTTGTGAGCTATCAAGGGATTGACTTCAGCTTCAATATCTTCATTGCTCGAAGATAAGGTCACTATCTCTATACAATCTCTTGTGTTGGGCTAGCAAAATCACCTGCACATAAAGGTGCCAATGGACCGGTTTTGGATTGGGCCCTGTCCAGTCTAAAGTCAATTTGGACGGATTGAATGGACCAACAAGACATCTACATGTGGGCTGCATTTCCATGTTTCAAATTTGAGTTTTAAAGTTGCAAGGCTACAAGTATACAACTACACCGTGTTTCACCTCGTTTTCATTTCATTGTTTCTAACTTGTTCAATTATTTTTCTCTTCAAAGTCCATCTCTGTCAAGATTTTTATTAAACGATCATAAAATTTTATCTATTTATAAAGGGTAAATTACAAAGACTCCCTTATGCTAATGACCGTGAGACAAAAACCCCCCTTCCGTTAACTTTCTTTAAAATTTTCCGTTACAATATTTTTAAATCTCCGCGATAAGAAAAACACTGTTCATCTTCCGAACCTTAGGATACACGAACAGCAGCGGCGCTAAGGGGAGAGAAAAAGAGATCGGGGATTATCGCCGCTACTGTTCTCTACCTTTACAGTATTTTCCCCTCACTTTGTTCATCGCGTCTCTGTATTTTTCCTCAGCATCATATCCAGTTTTGTCCTTCACATGTTTACAGGAGTGAATCACTTCGTCCCGCGCGAAATTGTCGAGTCTCCGGCAAAACTTAACCTTTCCTGGATCCGGTCTGGGCTGCGTAGCACTCCAGCTAAATATCAGTGTCATGGAGATTGAGCGCCTAGGCGCGAACATGGCTTATTCTGATAGGTAGAAAACTTGTCGATCTCCCTTTTCTCTCCTCCCCTATAGCCACCGGAAGAGCAACCCCTCCTCCTCCACTTCCACCGCCGCCTCCGCTTTCAAACCCGTCACCGACTTCCACCGCTGCAACTGATTGCAGCGGAGGATTCGAACTCAGCGGCGAAGAATCCACCACCGGCCTCTCTCTCTCCCTCTCTCTCTCTCTCTCCATCTTTGTTTGGAATTTAATTTTGATTTCGTTCACTTGGGCGATAGACGCAACATCTGCAGCGGCAATAGCAGTAACATTCAAAATCGTCAGGGTCGTTGCTTCTTCTACCACCCGCAGAACAGCGAAGCCAACAACTTTGATTCCTCCAGGGGCCTCCACCAGGCCAGGTATGCTCGCTCTCTGTGCCTGCGGCATCACTAGTATTGTGTTCCTCTTATCGATCTCCTACTGTGTTCCTCTTATCGTCTGTAACAAAGGCTTGTACGTGTTGGCAGGGATCGAACCGTTTGTGAGCTATCATCACGACCTGCCACGAATACAATAAGCCCAGAACATTTGGTTTCTGCTATCTGAATCTCGTTTAGATTTTATGAATTATAAAACACAAATTTTTTGGGAAGTGTGTTTCTTTCTCACTGTCACAAATCTTGTGATGAGGAGATAGAGTTTGAATGGAAATAGAAAATGGGATTTTGATTTTATCGGTGTTTATTGTTGCAACTAAGATTGTGTATTTTGCGGAAATCTGTTTTAGGAGCTTAGGGGATTTGGTGAAGTTCTGGAGTAGCTTGAATGAGCCCAACACATATGCTCTTTATGCGTATCTCAGGGGACTGTATCCACCAGGCCATTGTTCAGAGATTGAAGTTGTAAAATCATCACGAAGGATCTCGATTCGCACAATAAGAAGCCTCTGGGGGAGGGATTTGAAGGAATAGCTGTTAAAATTTGGGGAAAAGGAGAGAACAAGACTCTGTAGAATTTGCTGCATTTGGGTTTTGGAGCATTCCCTATAGAGGAAGAAGAGAGATCGGGGGAGAGAGAGAAATGTGGATTACTGCCTCTATTGTTAGTGTACCTTGAATCGGAGAAGATGAACATTGTTTTTCTCTCAATTGTCTGCAAGGGTAGTATGGAGATTAAAAAATATTGTAATGGCAAATTTCAAGGAAAAGCTAACGAAGGGGATTTTTGTCTCAGAGTCATAGTACAGGGTGATCTTTGTCATAAAACAAAGTACAGGGGGGTCATTGTAATTTACCCTATTATAAATGTTAAGTAGTTGAACATAAATTATATTAATTTCTAAGCATTAATATATGTATGCATATTTTTAGTTCTTCCATCAACTCTCGACATTGCCCAAACATATTTTCATATGAACAATTAAAGATGTATAAATACTTATTTATAGTCATCCCAAATTCAATGTTAGTAACATACTTTTTAGATTTAATTGATTTTTTTCCTAGCACATCTAAGTATAGCTTATCTAAGTATCTTAATTTCCACCATAAACTGAAATGTTTCTTAAAATTGCTTTTAATGAACCTTGTCCGCAAGGTATCTATGCATTAGAAACAAGTCCCAATGGTGCATGAGACATTGTGATAACACACCCATTTCCTACCTTAAACAATACACCGGATACTAATATTTTGAACTTCGAATCAACTGACAATGCTGTAACTTAGTTTTGACAAAACACCTCTAACCGACCTGTTTTTGTTTTCTTACTGATGTGGTATTTTCCGAAAGCAATAAAAAAAAAAAAAAAAACAGAACAGCCCCATGCTGGACAATTACTCGAAGATGGTTAACACATACAGTGGAAGATAAGGCCGCACAGGTGGAATATAATGAAGAGGTGAACTGAATAGTAAAGACTAAAGAGGAACCGCCTATTTTCTTAAGAAAACCAAAAATACTGGTCATAGACCAATAGATCAACATCGGCATTGAAAGTTGGATGTACAAACAACATTTGCGCAGGCATGAAGAAAGGCTAATGAGATATATTCACTCAATGGTATGAATAGACGCACAGATAGATAATGGATATACACGACACTTTTATATATGCCATTTTGATAAAAACATTAAAATTAACACAACACCCTTTTGTTTGCAAGCGGCAAATAGATGTTGCAAAAAATCAGTCGCTGTCTTCAAAAAGGCGAAGGACGAACATCCAGAAGCAACAAAAAACTGCCTGTAATAATGCATGCAAATAACAGCTCCACAAAGGCCAAGTTTAGGACATCTAAAGATGATAATCTTCAATTACATTACAGGTTCAGTTTTGACAGCTTGGTTCATCAGCGCAATCAACTTGCTCCAAAGGGAGTGAAGCAGATGGAGCTGGGGATGGCAATGGTTGACGTGGGTCTGAGTTGAATAGCTCTTCAGTCTTCATAAGCTTCTGGTCTTCATTAGTTGACTTGGGCCTGAAGATTAACACAAACAGATGGGAATATAAATTATTCTTCACTCCATTACAATGGATAGTACTACGCATGATGAAAGGACAATCAAGATCTATCCCAAAAATTAATCGTGAAGGATGACAATTGCCAATAAAGCTTCTCAAGACGCATCTTTTCTAAACAAGAAAGGTGAGCAGTGGTAACCGAGAGGAGAAATACAAAAGAACAAACAACTTTTCATACACACTCACGCTTCCAACCAAGAGCCCCCCCCTGCAGAAATCAAAGACAGCAAAAAATCACCACTTCCAAGTCCAATTAAAACAACTACAATTTTCTGCCCGAATAAAAGATCAAATGCCCACCCAATTCCCCAACTTCAATGTCACACTAACACCGGCCATCACCTTAAATACCTTCAGATCGACTCTGTTTCCCACTTCCTGCAATCTTTTGAGCAGCCACCTCTTTATTTTTCTTAGGAGTTAATTTAGTTTTCTTCACCTTCCTAGGTCCCTTCCCAAATAAACCTCCTTTTAATCTTGCAAAAACTTTTGACACTGAATGACTGAAACAGCTCTGTTCTTCTAACTCTGCCACTTTATGTGGAGATAGATTCAACGTGTCCCAATATACAAGGTTACAGACTTTTAGTTGGGATGAGAAAGCAAGTCTGCTGTGGCTTTCTAACAAAATTTTTGTCTCAGCTGTTGCTGGTGAGCTGATCTATGGCTTAATTGGTCAAGCAGCTTGGTTTTATTTTACTTGGGAGGAGAAGAGGTCTTCAAGAGGTTATTGGATAGAACCTTGTTTTAAAAATGCTAATGTACAGATCTGTTGCTTTATGCGTCCTGGTGCACCATGGCAATTCTTTAAAAATGCTAGTGTACTTATGGGGCCAATAAACTGTGTATATTTTTTTTCTCCAACTATTTCTGTTACCCATAGAAAACATTCCACCCAAATCGAGCTGTTCAGAGATATTCCAAGCGTATGGGCAAAAGGGTAGTTTGGACATTTGCGTTCATCTAATAAGGACCCACAAGCCCTTAATTTTCATTAAACAGGAACATAATTTTAAATTACTTTAATTAGTGATATACACATGCTGATTTACTCTTTTCTCATGCTGTCTAGTGTCTTCCTCTTTCTCTATTTTCTGATTTATTACAAAGGAGACCAATCAGTTAAGGCATCAGAACATATCTGAAGCCTCAATTCATTGTCAATTATCTTCTATATATTAGCAATCAACAGTTGTAGATTTCAAGTTTATAGTTACGATTTTCATTCAAAAAACCGAGTCTCAATTCTTAGACATCGTATGCCCTCGACACCAATCAGAAATCAGGACGTTATTATTTGATGTGCGTTATGGTATGTCTTCTGTGAATAACCCCTTAAATTGGACATTTATAAGACTTGTGTTAGCTTAAACTGTTTTTGGCCATTTGATAAACATGGGGACTTATGTCTAACACTCTTGTACTACTGAAATGGTGGAGCAATCTGTCTCAACTGCTCGGATTGGACCTAAGTACAATGAATAGGTGTTCAATGAAACACTTGGGACCATTTATAGTTATACCCTAGACCTTTGAGATAGATAGGAAAAAATTGGAAAGTTGCACTAACTTGATAATGATACCACACCGAGTATTGAACTGAGTTGCATTTGATATGCGAACCATTGATATCTCAACAAGGTATATTGTAATAGTTTGGAATAGTAATTGAATGAGTGATCATAGTGACATGATCAACCAATTTGTTAGACAAAAAGAACATCTTGGATTACACTCCTTAATAGAAGACTAAACTTTTTAGTATTGGATTTCAACTTGTTTTGAAATCAATTTGCAAAATGAATTTATATTCATAAATAGTTCATTTAATAAAAAGGTGGTTTCAATCATGAGATCCAATCCGAGTAGAGGGTATGACACTACATCTTGCAATCAATGAAGAGGTCTTTCTATGTCGACAATGTTTTGATATTATTGGATGAGAGGAAGAGAGTAGGGGAATAAGCAAGCCAAGCCTACTTGAAAGCTACCCAGGCTCGACTAGCTAAATAGTCAAATTCGGCTCACAATAATTGAGTTCAAGTCGAGATCGACTCATTTTGAGTAGTTAGTCAAGCTGAGTTCGAGCTTCACAATACCCATCTCAATTGGCTCATGAACCTAATCAAACTCATAATAAAACACTATATTTTAATATAGTTGCATTTATAATATAAATAGGCATTAATTTTTTGACATTAACTTATTCATAATATAAATAAATATGTTTATAATTGAATTTCATAATATATTTTTATTTATTGTATTTATAATATTAATTATCTATAATTTTTAATATATTTTGCTTCTTAATATACTTAATATTAATTTATTTCTAATCGACCTTAGTCGAGCTGAGCTCAAGTAGTTTGCAAGTATTGAAGAGTTGAGTTTGAGCCAAATACATGAAGCTCGACTGAGCTCAAGTCTTATTTCGGAATCAACCTTGAGTTTAAGAAGTCTGGTACTCTGCTTGACTCAACCGAGTTACACCCCTAGTAGAGAGCAAGTGTCTATTTGCGTTGAAACCTAATGGCCATCATTTTGAGGTTAAACCAATGTTTTAAAAGCGCAAGGCGCAAAAATAGGCAAAGGTAAATTTGCGCCTGAGGCGCAAGGCGAGGCGCGCGCCTTTTAGAAGGAAGGTGCAAAAATAAAAAATGCTAAAAAATAAAAAAAATGTCAGAAAATTCAAAAAAAATACCAACAATTCAAAAAAATATTAAACATAATATTAATAAAAAAATACAAACTTAAATTTTAAAATAAATGTTTTAAAAAAAACCTATTATCTAAAATTAAAATACATAAACATAAGATGTAAAGCATATTCAAATGAGAACTTAAAAATAAAAACAAACATATAAAACATTTTCAAGCATGTAAAACCACTAATCTCTTTTTTCACCCAATTGCTTTACTTCAAGTAGCTAATGTAATGTAAAACATATTACATTCCTGATTCTACGAGTGGCCTTTGTGCCACGCCCCTCGAGGCAAGCCCAAACAAGTCCATGTTAGGTGTTAAATTCTTAGTTCTCACACAAAAATTAATGAATTTATAACTTTCATTGCCTTTTATGAAGATATTTTATTGCAATGAATGAATGAATATTAGCAAATAGGGGGTTCTCACACCAGGCGCACAAGGCGTGTGCCTTTTGAAAGGGTTGCGCCTAGGACCTAGGCGAGGCGCATACCCTAAAATGTGCCTCGCCTGTGCGCCTAGGCGCGCCTTTTAAATCACTGGGTTAAACCATTAGGTTTGGGTTCTTAGGATGGCTGAAACCCAAACCCCACTTATTAATTAAGTGTTGGGCGGAATTTAAGCCCAATTGGGTTGGGACAGTTCACTAAGAAACTCTTAGTGGATTCGGCTCATGTGCTTTTACATATGAGCCTAAACCATGAGGTGTAACTTGAGAGCTTAGTGGGTCCCATGCCATACAAGGACCAAGTCAAAGGACAAGTTGACACATGTGAGTTTGACTAGCCAGTTATCTAATTTGACTAGATAGTTAAGTTGTTGGATATTTTGGGTTTTCTCTCAAGTTCCTAATATGGTTAGGATTATTTCTTAATTACTAGCTTTCTAAATCAGTTACAAAACTAATTGGAAACTCCCAAGAGGACTCTAAGGCTCCAACTCTATAAAAATTATAATGTAGGAGATTTGAGAGAGAGATTATCATTAAGATTATTCTTTATTGAACCCTAGTTCGATCAACACACTATAGCACATCTACACCAAGTTCGATTCTCACATTTTGGCTAGTTCGATCTCCATATTGGGCTGCACCATCTTCAGTTTTGGAGATATTGGCTGATTCCTTGGGCATGTCACACCACCACTTTGGGGAGCTGCACCTATGGCATCTGTATCAGGCAACATTCTATCAAAATATATTGATTATTCTAGATGGATCTTTGGATAGAAATTTGTTCTCTTAGAAATTCGATTTCTACATGTATGGGCTGATTTAAAATTTTAAAATCCTATCTTTTCTAGGCATGTAAACGAAAAAAATATTCAAACTGAGTCATGTTATATTCGAATTCGAATTCGATTACAAAACTGATTAATCGAATTCAGTTCGATATTCGACGGATATTCAAAAGTAAAAACTGAATTTGAATTCGAATTCGAATTCGACTTAGATAATCGAATATTCGATAAATTCGAATTCGATGGATTAAACCTAATTCTTGAAACAAAACAATCGAGCACTCATTCCCTTTGAATGAACTACAGAGAAAGGAGAAAATATCTTGTTTCACTTTTAATGATCTATGGAAACAAACATGTTTCTATAAATGATGAAGACAAACGAAGAACAAGGGGAAAAATAAAAAGAAAACAAAAAACTAATAAAATCTAGAACAAATAACAAGTCTTCAGTAACATAGAGAAAGCAAGAGAGATGAGGAAGGGGAGAGAGAGAGAGAGAAGAAAAAGGAGAAAATACCTTGTTTCATTTTTAACGATCTATGGAGAAAAACCTGTTTCCATGAATGGTGAAGACAGACAAAGAACAAGGGGGAAAATAAAAAGAAAACAAAAAGCTAATAAAATCTAGAACAAATAACAAGTCTTCGGTAACATAGAGAAAGAAAGCAAGAGAGATGAGGGAGGAGAGAGAGAGAGAGAAGAGAGAGACTTTTACAATCTTTCCGTATGCCGAAAAATCAATGAATAATAGCTGCAACTGTGACTGTAACACTCTTTTGCTTCATCAATACATGACCTTATTTGCCTTTAATATATGCTACTCATATTTTTGAAGTCTCTTATGAAAAAACCAGTAAAACCAGACGCTAGGGGAAGAAGTTGATACAAGGTAATGAAAAATGGGAGATAGAAGGGAGAGGTAATTAATTGTCGTTTTTATATAATAATGTATCTAATATCATAAAGTTAAGACACTTTGGCCGAGTTTTTAAGATATGTATCTTTCT